CGGTAAACTTTCCATAATCATTTGTTGCGGGCTAATATTAGCTCCTGGCTGTGTAGTGGAATGACATCTGAGGCACAGACAGGAAGAGGAAGCATGGCGGGAGGTGGGAGAATTAGAAGGGAGTAGAGGGTGAAAGGTAGAGGGGTCGTGGAGATGAGGCGAGCGTGAATGAGATGAAGGAAAAGGACAGTGGAAAGAAAAGAAACAGAGCACAAAGGCGTCAGGAGGAAGAGGAAAGAGACAGGCAGTGTGGAGTAATTTCACACGCCTGGTTGCTCCCCGCAGACAGCACACCCCCCTCCACTCCAAAATCTCACACACATGCACACACACCCACATACTACATCTCTGCCCCCCACCCCCACTGGTTGGCGGGGTGGGGGTGGGGGTGGGGGGCAGGCATAGCGGCCCTTTGTTTGACATATAGCTGCACACAAAGACATTCAGACCTGAAATAGCAATGGAGAGTACACCCCTCCACACACACAGAGTCAGACACTCTCATCAGGACCACTTCTGATTGGCTCAAACTAAACAACGTGCTGATGCTGGAGGTTGCCTCTATAATCAAACAATGCTTCTGGTTGCATTTCTCTTTCCAAACGTCTGCACTCTTCTTCTCTGACATTATAAAATGCACTAATAATGAAGCTGCTTCCAAGAGAAGCTGCAAGAGACCTTTGTCTCCCCTCAGACAAAAGAGGAGCTATTGACTCTACAGAGCACATCAGCTCGCTCTGAGACCATTCCTGTCCTGAGGTGATGCGAGTCGACTGTCACCGGCATCCTCACAGAGACCCGACATGAATCATTACACTGACTGTACAGTTCTCAGCGATCAATGTTTTTTTTTCCGTCTTCCAGTTTTGTATTCAGAACTGAAGCCAGAGTGTCTGTTGTGGGTAGGATTTTTTTTAAAGGTTTGATGCATATGGATCGTGAGTAAGAGCAGCATTTTGCCTCCATATGGTGCCTGAACGATGGAGGGGCATTCAGTGATAACCCGGCAGGAAAGTGATTGGTGCACCAGCGTGCGTGATGAAATCAGCCATAGGTTGTTGCATTGTCGGGGCACGGGAGCAGAAGTGCTGTAGTAAATGAAATGTTAAAGCTTTACTTACACCTGTTAGTGCTACTGTGCACAAGGGGGCGGCTGCATACTGCATACAGACTTTATGAAAGATTAACGCCACCATGACAGAGATGCGGCAGCCATCTTTGTTTACTACCAGCTTTTCTTTTTGTGTATTACACTGAAGAAGAAACAAAGGTTCGGTCTCGAGGGTTGTGGTGGGGCTGATTTTGTGGCAGTAAAAGAACATCCTACTTTTTTTCTGTTTTGTAGTTAAGGCTTCTTTCCATATTTCAGGGGGGATCTTTTCAATGAGATGACAAGCTTTCTGCAGGAATCTGTGCTAAATGGATTTCACACCACACTCCTCACAACAGGGGATTTATGGCGCTGGCGGGCAAGAGAGCAGTATCTGCCACCAGAATGTCAGCACTTTCCAATCCGCCATTTGAACTGCAAAACACTGTGGGAAAACACTGTACAAGATAGTTCACGGCATCAGCCCCCCTTGGAATCCTTTAAAAAAAAAACACCAAAAAACCAAACTTGAAACATAAAACGCAGCTGGAGTTTCTCCACGATAAAACCAGAATAAAACCCACAGAGGACACGAAGTCTGTGGGTATATACAAAGTGTAAGGCATTTCTGTTTCTAAGAAGTCTTTGTGAACGTGAGGAAGCCCAACCCTGCATTTTTTTTCAATATGGAAGTTATTACCACAGTGCTTAATCCTGCACACTGTGTGCAGCTACTTAGAGAGAGAGAGAGTTAAAGAGAGAGAGAGAGAGAAAGTGTGTGCATGAAGGGGAGGGGAGAGAGGGGGAGAAAGAGGTGAGGCTTTAATTCCAGCTGAGGATGGCAGGTATGTTAAAACCAGATAAAACGAGACATTAATTGAGTGACAGTTTGCCAGTGGGTTTTATCACAGGATACGTGTGTGTGTGTGTGTGTGTGTGTGTGTGTGTGTGTGTGCGCAGGCTTGTGAGAAAAAGAGGATTTATGCTTGTGTGGTCTTACTGAGTCTCTCTTTTTTTTTCTTTTTTTGGTTTGCTGGTTTTGGGCCATTCCTAGGAGCCCGGTGTGTAGGCAGGAGGTGTGAGAGCGAGGATAGGTGAACCAGGTGCTGCTTCCTTCCTCAGCGTGTGCAGCTGTCTCAAAAGCCTCTTGATCCTAACAGAAACTTGAAATCAGAGAGCTTTGATAGGCCACTCGGAGGGGAGGCTTTAAAAGATGTGAACGTCCTTGCACGTCATTTCTCTTCAGATGCTGTGGTTTGTGTCGAAACCTTCAGATTCTCACACAGTTCGAATCACCTCCAGGAAAGAGCAAAAGTGACCCTTTTCTCATACACGGACATACGTGAGTCCCGAGTTTGTTAATCACTGCTCAAAAAGTTTTTGCCACAGTTGAAAGTTAATACTATTCAAGGCCTTGTGTGAGTGCGTCTCCAGCAGCCTCCGTCTGACGCTTTTAGCGGGGCTTTGAGGACACATTTGCTTTCATTTGAGGAGCAGACCGAGGTAATTTTGACCAGACCCTGGAGCCTCTGTGCTCATCTTTTCTATTCCCATCTCTTTTTTAGGCTGCCCTGATTCCATATCCTGGTTTTTTTGTAGAGGAGGTGAGGGACTATTGTAGCACAAAGTACAGCATTCACTCCGATGGTAACAGAGATACATGTGAACATAACGCACCCCTGAGTGCGCCATATGACGCCTCATTATATTTCACTGACTGATACAGTTCAGGCTTTACAGGAATTAAAGGCTCAGTTTGCCTAAAATACAAACAACACTGTTAGCAAAGTCAGATAAAAGCAACATTATCCACATGGATGCATTAACCTAACCATGGACTTAAGAGTTGTTGATAATTATAAATGGTTTAAACAGCTTCTTGGTTCTTCTTCTTCTTCTTCTTTTTTTTTTTTTTACAAATACTAATATCAGTTTGTGTGATCAGTCAGATGATCTGCATATGCCTTTGAGCTGACAATGAGCAAAATGGGCCTCATTCATGCATTTGTAAGCCAAATTAATTAATGCGCAATGTATGGAAGCCTAATAGGTGATTATGTATATGAATGTTATTTGCATAATATATCCAATATATCCATTTTGTTAATGCTGGTAATCGATTTTTGTGATTGCAGCCTATTTCCAAACATACACAAGAATAATAGCAGACAGTCACTTTTTAATGTGCTTACAAACAACGATAAACTACATTAATGACTTTTATTATTTATTGTTATTGTTATAGTTCATTATTATTATTCACCCTGAATGAATAACTCTGTTGCATAGGATTTTGAATTACATAAACAGAATATGCATAAAACACAATAAAGATAAAAAAGAAATAAATCCCTGCATCAGTGGCATCCAGTACAACATGACATGATGTAAGCATGAAAAAGTGAATCGTATTTATCATTTAACATAAGAATTTATATTTTAGTAGCTCCATAATGTAAAGATTATCCACCATACAGTCTTTTCACTTCATAATGTGAAGCTTAAAATTTAAAATTCTATTTAGACGCTTCTTCCTTCCAAGCAACATTTTCAGATTAGTTTGTTGTTAAAAATGAAATATTAATACTTGATAAAATTGTAAATAGTTATGTAATTATTCTATAGCTTTTGCACAGTTCTTGTCTTTTTCCACCTCCGTACAGTTCTGAGTAAATTCATTTGCCAAAAAATTGACAAACACATATTAAAGATGAGTTTTACACAGTATAAGTGTATATATAGTAATTACATTTTCTACTGCCATTTTAAGGAAATCATTATTGTGAGTCATTTTGGATGCAATAATCATGCTGTGGAAATTTGATATCATGACAGTCTGCAGCTGCACCCTGTCACAGAAGCAGGTAATCACCTTTCAGATACCTGTTATGAAGAAATCATGGAAAAATTCAAATTTTTTACACAATATTTTTTATTGTAGGGTCTACCTTACATTATCAAGCACCTTGAGGCGACTGCTGTTGTGATTTTGCGCTGTATAAATAAGGTTGAATTGAATTGATGATATTTTTTTACCATCTTTAATTCCATGTTGTGGTAAATATATTTTAGCCCTTTGTAATCTGCTATGACAGCACAACTTTTGTTATATTAAAAATTATAATAATAATTAATTCAAACAACAACAAAAAAACAACCAGATGAGGTGTATTATTTTGGAACTTTTCAGTGTAATCAAAGTGATGTTTTACCGCTTTTGCAAGACTGGTTTAGAATCTAATGCATACAATAAAATCAACAGAATTGAATAAGAGTACAAAAACATATTTGCAGGGAATTTTGTGATCAACCTGTTTAATTATTATAGACTCTTAATTAATATGAAGTTATTATATCCTGAGTGCAAAACTGAATCCATCCTTTTGGGGACTGTGTCTTGCTGACACACCCAGCACCACCAATAACTGTCTCATCTCTGAGGAAAAATATTCAGATTCCATTTAGTCTCCTCTCACACTTAAATCAATAACCATCCACTCTGTTACACCCCAACAACCTCTGCCTCCATTGGTCCAAAGACGGCAGTTGCTTTTTCTCTGAGCCAATTGATGCTGATAATCATAGGTATGGAGCTGCAGGCTGTGCGTGTGCATGATTAACGAGACTGCTATCAACACAAAACGGACCTCAGCGCCGCAGCGCTGCTTGGGACAGACATGGTCAACAGGGAGGTGCATGTATATGTACACACAGATGCAAAGCACATGCATCATATGCCTGTGTGCAGTCGCTGACCATGCTTATGTGATTTATTACAGTTAATTAATACAAAGATTCTATATATGTGAGGAGTCCCAGTCCAGCCTGTTTAACACACACCACTGGCCCTCTATTATTATTCTTAAAGGAAAACAAATTAATTACTCTGACATTTGCTTTCCTCCCACAGGCCGGCCGTCAGCCTTTATTTGGAGAGCAGAAGCTTTTCCACACTACCTGAAATCAGCTGAGAGGTAGGAATTACTGCAAATGAGTCTGTTTACTGCCTGTTTGCTTCAGCCGTGTGAACATGAAGGTCACTTTCATTTGGCTTTGATTGCACTCAGTTGATTGCAATAAATTTATACTTCAAGTTTCTCCTTTTCAGATGTAATAGTTGCAGTGACACCTTGTAACCAAACTCTGTGTGAGAAAAGAAAAAAACAATGCTGTTCCACCCATGTCGGAATTTAATTGCACCTAATCATGGGTCCAAATTGAATAATAATATTTTTATTATATTTTATTTTTATATATATATATATATATTGTATTTTAATTGAATAAAATAAATTACATTTAACAAGTATAGCTCCATAAATCAATGAAAAGCATTTGCTTTTTTGTGGTTTCCACTGGTTACTCTGGTTGGCAGTCAGGTCAAGGTCACACTCTGCATGCCTCCTCTGTATAAAACTGCCTGTTTGTTCAGTCGGGCTGGTTCCACTGCTGATTAGGAGGCCACTGTGGCTGATAGTGTGAGGTGGCAGCAGGACGACTCCTCGTCCTGGAAACTTCCATGATTCAGCTGAAATGCATCAAGGCAGCTATTTTAAAGGCGACTCTAACATTTGGAATTATCCATATTTTTCCAAAGACGATGATACAAAGGCAGTTATTTTAATTAGAGTCTCTTATTTTTATGCTAAGGTCTTATAAATTGTGTTTTATATATATACAAAAAAGACATAGTGACACAGTAACAAAGGACCATTATTTCCTAACATGTCTATAAAAATGAGTGGGTGCTCATTTATTTTCATATATGGATAAACTGTTTTTCAATTACTCTGTGATAAGAAATATAATTACTAACTAAATGGGTTTTTGGAGAATTTTTTTCATGAATGAATGAAGCAACATATTCATAAAGTTCATCACAGTCAGTAGGAGGTGGTTGGGGTGTATGATGGCCATACTAAGTGCTGACTAATTTATGTCCAGCAAAGCATCTTTAAAGAATAAAGATAAATAATAACCTTGTATTTTTATTATTTTTATTTTTTAAATAATATCTTCTCACATTAAAACAACTTTTTATCGCATGTTCTATTTGTAATGATTCACAGGCAGGCATATTATAATCTACTTGCTCCAGTGTTTTTGGAGCAAGTCGGTTTTGCCTTGCTCCAAAAGCATTAAACCAGACATCAACTGCCTTAATGCACGCTGACGTCTTTTACTTTTTAGAATTTTGATATATTCTGCTACTTTCACTTGTGGTGGAGTAGTTTATTACTTGTACCTGCTGGCAGACATAAATCCAGTTAAATTCTCTTCTGTCAACACACACTGATGTCTACAGTGACAAAATATGATGAATAGGCTCTGGTTCTTTACACACAGTGTGAGCTACATAATGCAGTGTTGGTCAGTTCTAACATGTATACTACGAAAATGGTTTCTGCCAGCCGGCTGAGCTTCACGTCAAGCGCTCCTCCGGCGTAGCTGTGTGTCCGCTGTGACAGACCACTTTCATAAAGTCTGCCTGTCAGTCCATTCAGCAAATCATGCCCCACTGGAACTACTCTCCTTCCTCTAGCTCTGTTTTCTTTCTCTCTCACACACACAGATCCCTGGGGAGTTTGGCAGACATCCTACTCAGTTAACTAGAGGGATAAAGCAAACTGTCTGCACAGCTCTTGAGGAACGCCATAGCAACCTTTTCTCTCCTCCGAATAATCCCACACTTTCACTCTTATCCCTGAAAGTTCTTCCTTTGCTTGAAAAATCGACACTAAACACACAACAAACTTGTTCATAAAGACCAGGAGATAATGCTCTTGTGTCTGAGAATGTTTTAATTAGTTTTGAGTTCTGGGTTGGATTCAATCAGATAATCCTGCCTCTGCTCGTCTGCACCTGCTTCGTGGCTGTGAGTCACTGTATTCAATTTGCATTTGCACTCTTCGAGCATGGAACAAATTACATAATTGCTTAAATGCTTGAATGTATTTTTTTTTCTTTTCCTTTCTCTTTTTTGTTACACAACTGGCACATCCAGCTCCTTGCACGATTAATCATTTTCATCCCTGACTTCATTTTTCTTCCATCATTTTCACATTAGGATTAATATGACAAAAGCTGTCTCCTTCACCTGGCTCAATCAGCTAAGCTATATTTCAGCCTTATTACAGATCTTATCATTTAATGTGGCCTGGAAATGACTCCAGCCACGGTGCAGCCTAAAGGTAGTTACCTCCCATTTTAAATTGCTCTGCGGGAAGGATTATAAAAGTGACACACATTCTGGGATGCTGGGCCTTAGAGTTCACACTGGAGCTAATTAGGGAAAGCAACAATTTAATCTGTGATTCGCTAACACAGGCTCTTGCAGATGACAACTCAATTTGGTGCTCTGTACACAGAGAGGAGAGAACCAGATGTGAACATTTCTCACATGTATGTGTGACAAGAGTGCTTGTCTTCCATTCCTTTCTATCCCTCCTAACCTTCCCTCACCCTCCCTTTCTTCACCTCTGTCTCATAGCTTCCTTCCTGTCTCTTTCTGTTCCCGTCTTTCTAATTGTGGATGCCAGCTGCTTCAGAGCCTCTGCTGCTGCTGCTGTGGTGCCACGCCTGCGAAGTGTCCAGCCCAGAGTCCCTCTCTCTTTTCTCCCCCCTCTCTTGAAATTATCAGTGGCTCCATGGCCTCTCCTTGCGACACCGTGACACACCACTTTGTTGCATTGTGCCTCTTACTTGCAGGCACAGATGGCGGTATAGTTGGTGTTCTCTGTCAGAGTGCTGACACACGGTTCCTAAAAAGGAAAAGAAAAACAGCAGGGAGAGGGATGAGAGTGACAGTAAACACTGGTTAGCGCTGTCCTCTTAAGGCAAAAGGTGGGAGTCCCTCAGGTAGTCCAGCTTCCTCCCACATCCCAAAGACATCCACATTAGGCTAACTGGTGATTCTAAATCAGGATGTGCAGTAAAGTTCTGTACAGCCTACAGACTTTTAAGTGGACGCTAAGACTAGAGCAGTATATAAATACAAAGTCCGGTTCCATTTCCACACCCATAAGATGCTTTAAAATTAATTTCATTAAACAGGATGCAGCAGGGTTTAGATTAAAAGTTGCTGATCCTACCAAAAAGGCACTAATATAGGTGACATGTCAAAACATTAAAGCAGCAAAGCTCAAGAAAAGATAACAACATACCAGATTTTTCCAGTTAAATAAAGCTAATACTGCTGTTTACAGTCAGCTACACCGTAAAAAAAAATCCTAAAAAAACAGTAACAGCTCAGGCACCAAAATAATACCAGAAAATAACAGAAAATAACTTGCATGAAAATACGGTTATTTTTTTTTTTATTTTTTTTATTTTTATTTTTTTTTAAAATGACAAAGGATGAACTGAAGCTCTGCCATCACGTAATGTCGCATACTGCTGTTTCTGATGTCATTTAGATACGGTTATTTTCAGTAATGACAATACAGTTTGTTGCCCTAACTTTACATGGAATTTTGCCTTTTTCAAGTGCTTTTAAACATTAAATTAGGAACAATTTAATGTGATTAAACAATGAAATTACCTATAAATAAGGTCAATGAATGTGGCAATATGAATAATAATACTTAAATGTACAGAAATATACAGTTAACAGTTGGTTTAAATAATAATGGATTGCATTCATATAGCGCTTTACAATTCCACTTTATAATTCCCCTCTGGCCATCACCAGTAGATAGCAGGTGAAGTGTCTTGCCCAAGGACACAACGACCGAGAGTGTCCAATCCAGGGCTTGAACCGGCAACCTTCTGATTACAAGGCGAACTGCCAACTCTTGAGCCGCGATCGCCCTAAATAATAATAATAAATATATATGTAAACATTTTAGAACACTATATTTATTTAAGTCCACAGTATGCTTATAATTTGCAGAATTTGGAACTGTTTGCATTTCATCTTATATAATTAATTCTGTTGAAGCATATATATTTCACATCTTATTATCCAGTATAATTCCATTTTTATTTTGTTTCCAGTGTTAAAATAGTAAAATATTCCAGGTCTTTTGCATTATCTTAATCTCTTTGTGCTATGCTGCATAGAAACAGCCCTGTTGCTGAGCTATTTTCCTAACTTAAACCAAAATAGTGTCCTCCTCCAGTGTAGCTCTGTAAATTACACTTGAACTGACAGAACAATCAGTATGATATCCACATCAGTTAAATAAATTTTTTTAGAGATGGTAAATGTACTGCGCAACTACAAAATTTAAAACTCAGATAAGATTGCAGGGGTGGGAGTTAAAAAGCTTGTCTTCATCCCACTCCTTTTCGAGCTAAACGTGTTTTTTTTTTGTGTGTGTGTGTGTAATTGTACATTACAATAACTTTATTATTTGGTTGCTCGAATAAAGACATTCATTCATTCATTAAAAGGCATTAATATAAATATAATGTGGTGTACAAATTTAAAAACTAAAGATTTGACATGTTTTTGTGAGCTCTCTGGCACAAAATGGAAAAAGACATATTTGTTAGTTGGTTTTGGTTCTTTTCTTGGGATTTGTAGGCACAAAGAAAAAAATCTCAGAGTTTTCAGAGTGCTGTGCACATGTACCTACATTTGAGCATGTGTGTTCCTGTAGCATCCTCTAAACCACAGAGACTTTGATAGCAGCCCATGCAGAGCAACAGACACAGACCAATGGCTTTCTCTAATGAGCAGACTGTTGTTGGTCTGCCGTGGGGACCCTGCTTCAGGGCTGGCACACATTGCAAGATTTTATGAACTAATTAAGCACTAAAAGTTGCCTTCTTTGACAAGAAAGTCCAGATTTTTATGCAAAGTCAAAGAGAACTACTGGGGGATGGGAAAAACATCGGAAATTTCATTCCTATGTTTCATTTGCATTTGCAGTTCAAGTTTAGACCAGATCTACGAGCACAGAAAGAGACAGTTTGCTGTTGATAGGTGTTAATGAATCTTCCTGAAGCTCTGCCACTGTCCTGATATGAC